TCCCTGGAGGTATTTGAAAGATGTGCAGATGTGGTGCTTAGCAACATGGTTTAGTGGTGGACTTGGCAGTGTTAGGTTAACAGTTGGACTCGATGATGTTAAGGGTCTTTTCCAACCCAAATGATTCTATGAATTAGTTTTAAAAGACCACTTGTCATTTAAGATAGTTTCAACAGTTGTGGTTAAACTTCTGATACTTTTTCATTTTCCACATAACAGTAACAGTGTGTTTCAAAGCTAGAAACATTGCCGAAGTCTTTATGAATACAGATATAAAATCCGTCTTTTGAATTTTATTAGAGGCATTGTCTGTATTAAAAAACTATAACTGAATAAAAAAATGTTAGCACAGTTGAAATCCTGTTTGACCCTAGAAATGACCATGGTGTGATGACATATGCAACCAAGCAAAGTGGTGTGTGTCTGACGGCATTTGAACTTCTTCTGTGGGTGTCTCAGTGCTCAGAAGGTTCTTTATTAAGGGCAGTTCATGTATTTGTGACACCCTCTAGTGGACAGCTTTCTCAACGGTACACTAGGAAATGTTCTACATATTAAAATCACCTGACATCATTGAGAGGTCTTGGTGAAAAATCTGATTCCATTGGAATGCATTTGTGTGCATATCCAGTCATTACCACTCATTTTGCAATATATTTTTTAAGGTTTTTTTTGTGATGTTGTTGCTAATAATCATATCTATTTATATGTGCAATTAATATTTATACACATGCAGATGGAACATACTTTTTTTCTGTGCTATGAACCTCCTCTGTTTCCCAGACTGTATATTCCTGAAATGTTTACAGTTTGTCTTAATTCTTATTTAATTTTATTTCAGGTACCACCAAAGTAAACCTTGTGAAGATCCCATCAACTGCTTCCAGTCCTCGAGACACTGCTCTAGCAGCTGTTATATGCAGTGCACTTGCGACAGTGCTCTTAGCTCTTCTTATTCTTTGTGTTATCTATTGTAAGAGGCAGTTTATGGAGAAGAAACCAAGCTGTAAGTTTCCAGTTATTACTGTTTCTTTGTAATATTCATACACCAGTATTAGTTTGGCAGATTTCTCTGTAGGTTAATAAATGCAATTTTTACAGCATTCAAGCAAGTTTAGCATTGAGATGAACAAGCTAGTAGAAGCCCAAGACTATATATCTGTACGTTTGCCAGCTCAGTGTGGATTTTCCAGCTTCTGCTGAGAAAATGCTGTGCAGATTTCTAGAAATAATCCAATTGCATTAATTCTGTGCCACGCTCTGTTAGATGCTGCGCAGACATATGTGGAACATTTGGGATACAAGATGGGATGTCATATAGAGTTGGAATGCAATGTGGAAATAGCAGTTTGGAGGATCTGTGCATCACATGCCATTGTCAAACAACTTAGCTCGTTGAGATAATGAATGTAGTCAGTGTAGATAGCAGATCTGTCATTAACAATTTTGGTTTTATGGGCATATTCAAGATGAATCAAATGCCTAAGCCAGTTAGATTTATAAATTTTAAAAAAAAATCTGTAACAGCTCATCAATGTAATTCACAGTTTGTTTATAATAAACATTTTCCTGACCCTTAATTTAAATGAAAAAAAGAGAAAAGACAAAAGCACTCTAGTTCCCATTTGTCATTTAAGAAACTTTAATTAAAATACATTTATAGCATCTAATGAACACTGGATGTCAACCAAGAATAAAAACTAGGAAGAATTGATGTTATCACTGCTTGCAGCACAAGCAAAAATAAAGACTCAGAGAGGCATTGTAAGAAATGTTCCTAACCTAGAAGATGCTTTACAATGTAAGTTTATAGAAATTCAGACATTGTGAATTCAGACTTCAGTCAGTGAAATTTAGTAACTCATTTGCCTTGGCCTACAGTTATACAGATTAAAGGAAGTCTGCTGTTAATATAAAGCTCTTTAAGATAACATAAACAAAATCCCAGTGGCTGAAAGCTGAATGTGGAAAATTTCAGATGGGAATCACTGAGAGAATGTAACAGTGAATAAGATACTCTCAATTCATCATCAAAATAAGAACAGATGTCTTCCTAGAAGAGGCAGTAGTTGAACCAGCTATTCTAGGGTGTGTTGCAAAATCTGCGGTTTGCGTTATATGAAACCACATGATCATTGTGGATCTTTCAGTTGGAAAATGTATGGAAATACTGTATAGTATGACATTTAAGCATGCTATGAAGATAGGAGGCTCTGAACAGGAAAAAGAGTATAGTTTACTAATATATATTTATATTCATTTTATCCAAAGGGTCTCTGAGATCACAAGACGTTCACTACAATGGCTCTGAATTGTCATGTTTTGATAGACCGCAGCTAAATGAATATGACCACAGAACTTGTTGCCAGTGCCAGAGAAGCACATCACAGACATGTGGTATGTTAGGTCAACTTAAAAATGACTTTATGGCATGACGAACATTTATCTAACACTTGAGTTGTGATATTTAACTACAGAGCTAACACTGTCAAACTACCATTAGTCCTAGGCTAATTTCTCAATAAGCACGTAGAATTTCCAAGTAGCTATTTGGTTATGATATTGTTTTTTCTGTTTTCATTCCAGTGAAGCTTCACTTAAAAAACAGTTTTAAATGTCTATCTCGTTTCTTTCTGAAAAAAATAGCACTGCATCTGGCTTTGTGACTTAAATTGGTGTGAAGGATTTACCAGACAGTATCTAATAACATGATATGCAGTTTAAAGGACATTAAAAACCTGAAGAATTCAAATTGTTGGAATTTTGTGAAGTAATATTGGAACAGATGCATTTATGATGTTAGTAAATACATAATTTAACACAAGAGCACAGGCTTAAATACCATCCTAGTATGTTAACTCAGGATGTGATACGTCATCTCACATGTATCTAATTAAAGAGAAATTAATTTTAAAAGTAAATGTTCATGGCTGGCATCTGTATTACTCCTGGAGGAATGGCTTGGCTTTTATAAGTAATTCAGTTTTAAAGTAATAAATTAAAGAACCCATTTTGGGCAATAGGTAACCTCTTTCCTCAATCCGTATATTGTAATGTAACTGGCAAACTAGTACTCGAGTTTGAAAGAGTACACAGACTAAGTTTATACAGACCTTTAACACTTTTAACATTATTAAATTAATTTTCATGCCTTAGGACCAGTTCACTTGATTCCATCGCTGTGCTGTGATGACACGTGTAGCATGGAGCACAGCAGTCACAGTTGTGCTTTCCACTCACAGACTACACTTAATGAAAGGTAACTTAGTTTTAGAAATGTCTATTAAACATTAAGTATTTCATATGCAGTCAAATTAATATTTATACCAACAAAATAACTGTTTGGAGTGGAATGAGGGATTTTGATGAACTCTAGCCATGTCCCCCTGTTTTGTGCAAAAACAGGTTAATGGAGAAAAATTTATTTTAAGTATTACTTAATAAATGCTGACAATGATAGATCAGTTTCTCTGACCAAGAAGTGACCTATTTCTCTCACAAGCAGATAGTCTTCCTCTTACCCTATGGTACCTTAGAGTCTTTGATGATCCCCTCTTCTGCTGTGGGTTAGCAAGGTGCTGCATAAACCTGTGAATCTGGGGGGATTAAGGTACAGTTTAGAAGTGTCATGAAGATTTTATTTTTTTAGAAGGTCTTAATGAGTGTGAGAGTATTTCTTAATTTCTACCACATTGTAACCATTAGTTTTTCCTGATCCACTGAATATATATACAGTAGCAGCATAGTTATTTCTACAGCAGTGCCATGAGCTAAATATATAAAAATTATGGTGTCATTCAGAGTTTCCTGGTTACAGATTTTAACACAGGATGTATTTATTTCTTTTAGCTAGAATTGTTCTCCATATAAGGTTTAAATTGGTCTCCAGCTGTTTTGTTCTTATGGCCAAATGTAACTAAAAATGTAGAAGCAGCTTCTTCATAGGTATTTTTTTTAGGCAAGGTGACTTAGTGACCTAAGTATAAGATACAAAATACCTAAATTTTCTATAGTAACTTGTTTAAATACCAGCAAGCTTGAGTCATGCTTTTATACCACTAAGGCTGACAAATTGAGAGTTATGTACTTTGTGAGGGATCTTTTGGTTAAGGCTTTAAAAATAAATGTCATATCCTTACTATGTGGGCATCAAAGATCCTGTGGTTCCTTCCAGCAGAAAGGGAGTTTGCTTCAATTTCCTTTGCCAAAATAATGTATTTCCTTCAATTGTAGTGCAGTGTCCTGCCTGTTGGCCTCATCTATAAAAATGCTTTGTGTGTATCTCAAAGCCATTAAAGCGTCATGTTTTGGAAATGAGTAAGACTACTTAAAATCTGTTATAGGCAATGTTAATGTGGGATGAGTTTTGTCACACAAATTATTGCTATATATGAGACTTCATATAGCCTTTACAGTTCTATAAATATTTAGACAGTTTTTGGAAATAAAATGATTCAGTATAACTTTTTGGTTTTGTTAATACTTATTTTGGTATACAAAAACATTACTGGGCTTTCAACAGAGATAGATAGGCATGTACAGTGCACTCAGCCATGTCGGTATCATCACGCACCTTAAATACATTTGAGATAGATAAATACTGAGTTTCTCCTTCTACTTTCTTCCATTTTCCTTAAAATAAAAATAATCCTTGTGAAAATTAAAAATCCTTGCATGTCATTAATATTCTGTCTTTTCGACATGAAAGAGAATACAGGAAAGACTTTTCACATTTTGAAGACTAGACAGAACAAACTGAAAAATCTAAAGTGAGTGCAGGTTCAATATGAAATGACGCAAACAGAAGGAGTTTTAAGCAGTCCTGTTGTCTATTCCCTTTTCCCAGTCTGAACTCACTTCTTGTGCTTCTGTTAGATATTTGTCTAGTCAGTCTTCCCAGAGATCTTTCTTGCTGCAATTTAAGCTTGTTTTATCTTGTTTCAACTCTCCCCCCACCCCCCACCCCATGCATTCAGAACATGGAAATTCCTTCCTCTTTGAAACAGTCTTTGTATCTGAATAGTACTTTAGTATTTTTTATCGTATTTCTGTTCTTTAGACTACAAACAACTCCAACTGTAGTTCATGTTTTCTAAAACCCTGAATTCACAGTGTGCTAGAAAAGCTCTAGGCATCCTCTTTACCTTTAGTAGTGTTCTTCAGAGCTTTCTTCATTTCCAGATAAGGAATAAACTATATTCCTTTTCAAAAGAATTTGTTTGTACAGGGTGTCTCTAGAGTATTAACTTAATAAAACTCTGTTAAAACTTCTTGAAATACCTAGAATTGTTAATGGCAATAATTACAATATTGATAGTATTTTCTGGAATGCTTTTGAAATGATGTGGTTTTTATCCTTTTGCAGAGCTTCTGATTCTGTTGGAGAAATGATTCCTACCTTCCTTGGTTCTCTTTCACACACTACCTGTGGAGACATTTCAGATGCCTGGCCTCTTATGCGAAACTCAGCTTGTTGTGACAGCATTTCTTACTGTGAATCATATTCAGAACTGGCAGAAGGATCTGCAAAATCCTGCAGTCCTGAGAATGAAAATGGAGCCACTGTTGAGTCGGTTAATAACCAGGATCCAAGTGAAGTACTTATTTCAGCTAAGTCTCTTGACGGAAACATTGCAAAGTCCTTTGAAATCTCCAAACATAGAACATGCATAGAAGTTTCATCACTTCAGAACTCAGCAGCTGCTGAAACCCAGCCAAAGACAAAGCGTAATGGAACAGCAAATGACTCTACAGCCTGATAAGGAGGTAAAAACCATAACTACAAAGGAGTGAGAATGAGTACTCAAGGCACGTAGAGCTAGATAAAAATAGAATTGTAAAAAGTATTAGGGTTGTGTTTCTCCATAGGTTACACCTAGTTATTGGTGAAATAAGTTACAGCTCTACAAGAGATCCAACAATTTCATATTTCTAAATCATTGACTGAATTTGAAGGGTGTAATTATTCAAACTGTAATGTTAAGATAATGTGAACCAGAATACAAGGGTAAGTCTGTACACCAGTCAGTTTATCAGGGTTTTTTTTTTCATTAAATTTGACGGGAAAGAAAAATCAGTGTAATAGCCTTATGACCAAACTATTACTTGAGGCTAGTCCTTGTTTATGAGGGAGGAACTGAGGACTTGTCTTTGCTCATTGTAAGCAAAGCATAAAAGACAGGCAAGTGTTCATCCAAAAATATTTACAAAGCCTTCTCTGTGAAGTTACTACAGCAGCAGCAGAAATAGAAGAGAGAATCTCAAATGCTTTTTAATGCCATTCATATTCCCATGTCAACAGATAAAACATTCCATAAGTTTGTTCATAAAATACAATTTAATCTATGAAAGCTCGGTGTTCTAGTTCTCAGAGAAAATGCAGGTCTGAGGTCAAAATGAAAAGAGGTGATAAATAATCATCGCTACCACGTAACAATGTAACCATCACAAAAGTCACTGTGCTACTGCTTCATCATTATATCTTTTTGGATATTAGCTGTACTCTATTTTTAAAATATCATTTTCTGCTATTAGAAGTAACTTGGAGCAACGAATAGCTAAGCTGTGAAAGGATCCCAAAGTATGGCATGTGTCCTGGTGTTGTTACTCAAGGGTTATGCAGGCTGTGGCTGGAAAGCTGAAATTGTCTCCAAGTGCATGTACACAGAGGCAGAAACAGAAGCAGTTGCCACTAGTATTAATAATCCACCAAGCTTAATTAAGAAAATTATACTATCTGTAATTATGAAAATCTTGGGTCATCTGCAGAAATAAAACTGCCTTCCTTTGATCCTCTTCTATTTGGTTTGCGTGCCAATTCTTTAATAAGAAGTAGAAAGTAATTAGTATTCAACAAAAAAAAATTATTTTCTGAAAACATGTAAGTGCAATAGCTAATTCTTTGTACATCAAGCCTTAATTTTTTAGGTGACGTTTTCAAAAGGAGGGAAGGGAGGCATAGAGACTGCTAAGTGAAGAAATTTTTTTGCCATTGACTTCAATGGAACTCGTGTATCACCCTGGAAATCTACTGCTGCCATTGAAAATATCAGCCTTATCTAGGTTGCACATATTTTTCTCAATATGTTATTTACAAATATAGTTTTGTCTGTAACAATGTCTGGCACTACCTGACAAAGTGTCAGATAGAAATTGGCATAGTTTCATTTTGGTATATGCCAAATATTACGCGATAGTTATATTCTCTAGGTGTATATAGGAAAGGGACAGTGACATGGCTATGACAGCAGATCTCAGCGCGACTAGCTCACAGTTTTTCAGCACTTATCAATGGAACTTGAATGCTTACTCAATGTTTTAAGGGAATATATTTCCTTATTAACAAGATTTTAAAAAATCAGAAATTCACGTGTAGGTTTTTTTGCCCGCTAAACCAAGTATCAACTTAAGAGATGGGATTAATATTATTTAGGTTTTTCTAGATGAAAGGAACCACAGAATTTCAAAATATCACTATAAATTTAACTTATATTTTACCATATTTGTTACAATATATGAATTGTAAATTTTCTTACTGATTCAGATGTGTGTGTAGAAACCTTTTCTGACATGTCAAAATCCTCTGTTTTTGATGGTTCTATATTATTATGTATTACTGTTGAGATTTGTGTATAATTCTGAGTAAGCAAGATGGTTTGGGTGGTTAAGCTTTCCTTCATTTTTTTTTAATAGACTTTACTGATTCATTTTGTACAGTTTCTCCATATTCACACTCTACACTGTATCATTATGTATGCATTTTTGATGGAGAAATTTTAGTAGCATTTGAGGGACAGGATCAGGACTAGGCTTACCTGAGATGTATTTTCAGGCTTAACTCTCACAAACTGTACAACTCCAAGAAAATTATTTAATCTCAGTCTACCTCATTTTCTTCAATTTGCCCTTCAGCTTTCTTGTCTTTTTGAAATATTTGGAGGGAAGGATGGTCTTTTCATACATGTGTATGCATTACAGTCTTGCATAGGGCCATACTTTTATTGTATTGGAAAGTAAATAATAATGTAATGAAATCAGAAGATTGCATGTTTTTATTTCTGTGCACATAAATATAAGTTTTTAAATGGGTATTTTAATACAGGTTCAGTCATCAGGATTAGGTGAATTTTTACGGCAAGCAAGCAGTATTTTTTTAGTGTTTAGTCACATACAGAAGTACATACAGGTTCTTAGTGAGATTATGTAACTGCTGTTCTATCCCTTTCTTTTAGGAAGCCAAGCTACTTCTGTCAGCACTGAAGCTGAATGTTTGCCTAGTGCTCCTTGCTGTTTCTTATCAAACATAGTCTGGTCTTCAGTGTTGCATGGTTTCAAAATCAGCTGGAAAAAAAATGGCATCATTTCACACCTTCCGAACAGTTGCATCTGAGCCATAACAGCTGTAAAATGAAACTTCAAGGAGCATCCTTGGAGAACCATGAAAGTGGATTTATGACCTTTTGCATCTCTTCTGAAAAAAAGAACCTTCTATTCAATCAGATTCTCAAAAAGCCTAATGGAGTGAGTTTATATGCAAACAGCAAGAAATATAAATACTTCAGTGTGTTTAGGTGGGTACCTTAAATACGGCTACAAGACGTCAGAAGCCGTGGGACAAGACTTTGCTCGTTACTCTGCTTGCAGATTTATGCATGCATTAGGATTTTTTTGGCTGGTTCTAATTTTAACTCAGTTTCCTGCTGTTGAAGGACTTAAACATTTCTATTTATGCAAGGATCATCTATTGATAAACTGAAGCTTTTGTTATATATTACATTATGGTCAATAAGCTAGTTTGAGGAGTTAAAGAATTTGCGTGTTACAATTACTATGGTTGAAGTCCCCTCCATCCCACATTTGTGGGAGGGGGCATTTTTTTGTTAAATGTAGCAGGAGGTTAGCTTTAAATTAGATTTAGTTTAATGCAAGTCAGCCATATAGATAGGGATCTTGTGTTTAATTGGTAGTCTCAGTATTGGAATACAGCACTTAGTTTTTATAGCATGTAATTTTTGGATGTTGAAATAAATGTAATCAATTGTCATATTAGAATGTCAAATTATAGCAGGTGCCATGAAAGTATACATACAATGAGACTTACTAATATTTTTTAGTAATGAATTAATTTCAAGGGTCAAGTTTCATGGTTACCTAATTTGTTAATGTAGCAGTCCTTTTCATTCATCTCACTCTGTCCTGTTCAGTGTAGTATTGTGTAAATTCAATTTTTCCACACAAAATACAAACACTAATTCATAACATTAAAAAAAAAAAATACCCTGCTGACTTGAATCCTCAAAGTTGCGTGGATGCCTAGTAAATTATCAACTTTCTGCTATCACTGCTGTTCTTTAAGAATTTAGCTGCAGTTTGTTGCACCACATGTTCTGCAGCCATTTTTATCTCTAAAAAAGTTCTCACTTCTGTGAGTAATCCCAGTAACCTCTACTGATTCATTACATTCAACAGGCTCAAACCTGTCAGCGATGAACTCTAGCAGTTGTTCTTTAAAGTACCCCATGTGCCTTGACAAAAGCAAAGCAATCAGCAAAACAAATGCAAATTTGCAATAAATATTACTCATCTTTCCACACATGGTTTACATGGCAATGGAAATGTTGAGACAGAATTCATATTCCATAATGGAAAAAAAAGACTTTTGCTTTGACGTGCCCAGTAGAAGAAGGTTGAAGCTGCACAAGAACAGCTAAAGCCAGTATGGACAGCCAAGGCAGTAAGAAGCTTTAGCTAAAACCACTGAGATTATTTTATGTGTGCAAAAATCATGAATAAAACTTATCAAATTCAAACCAAATAAATGAAGAAATTATATAAGTGATTTTTTTTCTTTTTTTTTTTTTTTTAAATGGTGGTAAATACCACCGTTTGGTCACTGAGAGAATACATGCAGTTATACAGGAACTATTAATTACTCAGCTAAATACTTTAAAGTATATATTCAAATAAGAGTAGCTTTGAATTATTTCTTTGGATACTTTCATATATTTAAGAAGTGACAAAACGTTATTTTTGACTAAATGTACATGAAAAGATGTGTGCTTTTTTGTATATACTTTGTAAATAGAAAAAATCCAATGTGCATTTCAGAATATGGCAAGATATTTTTAGAACATATGGAGATTTAACTTTTCACTAACAACAGTTCTTTAAAATGTTCAAAAGTTTTGCCAGCAACAGTAAGTATGTTTTCCCATTGGAATTTACACTTTGTATAAATGTTTTTGTCCGGCAACTCTAGAGAAAAATACTCATTTCTTTAAATGAGTGACAGATAGCTTGAGAGCAAATTCGGAGGAAAAAATTAAGAGAGTGCTTTTTAAATATATGTGTATATTGTGTATATACTTTTTTCCTTAATTTAACCAAATTGGTCCTTTTTATATTGCCTGTGGCAAGCAATGTTGTACATGCCAATAGAAAACATACACTACCACTGCATTTAGACTGCCCACATATCACATCAAGGGACTTAAGGAATGTATATTAAAATCTTGTATAAATCGTTTTGTAATACTTTTTCTACTTGTGAATAAAATGTTACATGAACCAGTCTTGGTTTGTTGATCTCAAATTACTAATAGCATTCTATACAAAGTTAGTGGTAAACTCTTACTATTTTTAGAATTCTGTAGCTGTATTAAAATTACAGTGTAATTTGGTACATCTTTGTCTTGAGATTCTTCCTATTTAACAGTAGCATAATTCTGCAAGTTGGAGGACCTTGAAGAAGCATTAACATCAGTCCTTAAA